ATGTATGCCTTACGTCGATTTGCTCGAGCGGGCGCCAGCAACGTCTCCATTCGTCCCTGTCGCGTGCTAGAGTGGTCCAGTGGATCCTCCTTGCTCGAGGGACACGAAGTCCATCATTCCTTTCGTTCAGAGCTTTCGTGAAGAAGTCTGACCATCGGGCCGGCGGTCGTCCAGGTGTTCGTTTGACGTCCCGAGGGATCCAGTCGGTAACCGCTCTGGTCCAACGGTCATCGCAAAATCGCATGACGTGTCCGGCCCACCTTATCTTCGATTCCTTGGCGAAAACGGCAGCGTCCCTGATCTTCGATCGTTGGCGTAGTTCGGCACTCCGGATTCCCCTCTGCACTTGCGTGTATAGGGTTACTCCTAGCATCGTCCTCTCGACAGCGCGTTGGATAACGCTGACCGCATGCTCGTCCTGCCTGCGCAGAGTCCAAGTCTCTGAGGCGTAGGTTAGGGCAGGAAGGACAGCGGAATCGAAGAGGGGGCACGGATGTTCTTCGTCTTCTTCACTACTCCCTCCTCTTCACGGTATTAGGAAGCAGTAATTAAATAATTAAATAACAATGGAAAATAGGACTCTGACTGAGAAGTCAGACGAAGTAGGGAGAAGAGAGGAAGTAAGCAAACCAGCCCTTTTGGCGTTTCTGCTGGGGCCGTATGCTGAATGTTGGGGAGGGGATGGGGTCCCCGACGGTCGACGGACACTTCAACTCGGTCCTTAAAACCGCCTCAATTTGATGCTTACCTCAGGACTAAGCCTTAAAGAGAGGACGGACCTGCGAGAGAGCGCAGGTCCGTCCTCTCTCCAAGGCTTAGTCCTGGGGTAAGCAAACCAGCCCTTTTGGCGGAGCTGCTGGACCAGCTGCACCACTTCGTCCACTACCCTACCGTAGCCAACCGAGTTGAAGTAAACCGTCGACCGTTGGGGACCCCATCCCCTCCCCAACATCTCGAGCATCTGTCCAGGCAGAAAAGCCCTAAAAGGGCTCGGTTTGTTAACTTCCAGAAGAGAGCAGAAGGAAAAGAGGAGGCATAACTGCGCGATCACCCTAGCGATTTCAGATTATTTTGACCAGAGGGGTCTTTAGCCAGCGTTGACCGTGAGTTGCGCAGTTCTCAACGAAGTTCAGTTCAGGTTGTGCTTGAGTTTTTTTTTTTTGGAGGGGGGGGAGGTGGGCGGAAGGTGGGGGGGGGGAGACATATTTTGAGTGGGTAACGGTCAAAAGGTGGAAAAAGAGGGTCGCATTTGTGGAAGTGGGATGGATTGCGCTTGATAGTGGTCGATTCTGCTGATTTGTGAAGATTTTGGGGAAAAATTCACGAGGAGAAGCAGCGCAACTAAGCGAAGGTAAGGGAAGAAAAAGTGTGTGGAGTGTCGACTGCTCTCAGAATTAAGTACTATAGAAATAGCCATGATTGTGGGGATGGCGGTCGGGGGGATAGGAAAGAGGGGGTCGTGTTGGGTGGATATCTTAGAGCTATTGTTAGTGGTGGGAGTCGTATCCAGATTCCCTGAAGGAGGAGGTCGCAAAATTTCTGAAATCTGCGCAGCGCATGGACGACCCTGCCCGGTATATACTTTTTCAACTACTTACAATTCACCTGTATTCTGTATCTTGTTAATCGGCCCACCTTTCCCACAGAAAGATTGTTTTATATCAACCTCCTGTGTTCTTTGGACTACGCCAGCAGAGATTATTGGCAAGGAGAAGTGGTGTTCTAAATATAAACAAGAAAGAAGTAAGTTAAGCTATAAGTTTTTGGCTACACTCTTCCTTACAGAATAATGAAAGGATTTGGAACTGTGTTCGACCCAGGCAATGAGTTGCGTGTTAACCTAGTTAGCGTTTTTACGTTCTTTTTACGTTCTCGAGTACCTGTGCTTGCGCCAATTTCCCGACATGATATAGCGGTGAAAGATTTAGCTGTTCACATCGCGGGATTTAACCCCATTGAAGTGAAGAAGAAGCAGCAAACTTAGAAACTTAGATTGCCGTACTTGTCACCATAACCAAGATATCCCTTGTCCTTCGTTCCAGTACTCTACATGAGGTCGTTTTCTGGACGAAAGCACCATCATGCGAGCACTGAGTTTGTATGAAATCTGTCATAATTTGTCCACTTTGCACAGGATATTTCTTCTTCAACCGAGGAATTCACACAAAATCTACCTGTCAAAAGGAAAAGAAAAATCAAAAATACCTAAGAAGTTATGCGGGCGGTCACATGACGTTTTCTAAGGAATGACTTGCTCCATCAAAAAACTACAAGGAGAGCCTCTCGACGCTATCATTCTGTTCTAGTCTTTTTTGGTCGTGAGCAGTCTTTAGATTATACTCAAAAATCGCAGATGGTATTGTTGGATACGAATTGGAATATCGGTGGGCTTAATGTGACAGCAATGTAGAAAGCCCTGCTTCATCTACTGGACAGTTGTGGAGCAATTAGCCGACAACAGAGCGAGATGGGAAGGCCATGGTTACCCTGTACGGTATTCGGTCCAAAGTACGTATAGGAGCCCTTTTTCTCCACATCACCTCTGCCCCAAATCTACCAAGTGCCCTTAACAATCCCACTTCAGAGCGATTTTATGGCTCATTACGGTTACCACTGTCGCTCGTTTCCCAAAGTTTTTACAATCGTTACGGTAACAGCGCGAGTTGTACCATTCAGTAGCACCGGAATATCATCCAGCATTTTTAAAGGAGGATTGCACGGAAAGAACGAAGGTCGAAGAAGGGAGAAATCGCCTAGTGGGGAGAGCGGTGAATCTCTTGAGGGTGCGGACAGACACGCAATCGGCATCGAAAGATTTGACCTCTGAGATCTAGCATGGCTCAAAGTTGGCGAGTTCGGCGATCTCCGCCCACCGATCGTCTGATCACTCGCCGTAGTACAATAGGTGGCGAGTGATTAGATAGCTGAGAGAGCGTAGGGTTGAAGAGGGCAAAGCGATGAGAGTCCCATCAATGCTCAAATCAACGGACAAGGAAGGGGTCCCATTTCTCCGGTTCTGGGCCGTTTTTCGTGGTTTCGCTTTCTTTCTGGTACTACTCACCATCTCTACCTCAATTTGGAATGGGTTGCTTTTCCATCGTAAATTCGTCCTTTAATCTTAATAGCCCCCTTGTGATTTTTCGATGGCTGTCCATAGCAAGATAGGAGGCTGAGAGAAAGGAGAGCTCGAAACGAATTGCGACCATATAATAGTGCTGCCTATGAATACTGGTTTGCTCTTGACTGGAAATGCCCTTATTTCGCCTTTTCGGGATAGAAAATTTGTGTCAAAGGCTCTAAGAGATTGTGAACCGTGGAATAAGGGTGAGGATTATTATAATGCTCAGGCTTTTACTCTCAATTACTATAGTAATTTTTCTTCAAGGTATC